ATATCCCAGAAGTTTAATGAACTTGATTCTATACACTGATTACAAAGGGTTTCTTTAAATTTTTTTAGTAGTTTATATATGAGAGTCATGGGTACTTGTTGATGGCATTAAATGTTTTTAAGACTATTAAAAGGGTCTTAAAAAGCATTAAATTAGAGATACTCATTCCTGTATAAACCGTGTAAATGCTGCCATGTTTTGTCATCAGATGACGAATCAGGTTTGCGGTGTTAAATGCAGCTCCGCTGCCACCTCCTGTGGACATTACTATGTTGCTTTAGGACCATCTTCACTATTAAGAGAAAAATATTTTCACTCTTCTGTCATGCTTAGATTGCATTGCAACAGAGGTTTGAACTGCGCAGTTACTGTCAAACGTAACCAGCAGGTACTTTGTGGCAATACCTGTGAATATTGACATTCTGATCACTGGAAAACAGAAAAATATCAAGCCGAACCGAATACACGATCAGGACATCTTTAGTAGGAATGGCAAAGTCAAAGTCTAGACAATAATCTGGAGATCGTTGTTCACATGCAAACCTGTCCAACAGGTTTGAAGGAGCTGGAGGAGTTTCCCCCAGAATAAATGGAAAGATAACCCAATAATTGTTCCTATTAATGGGGGAGGGAATGGTTGCATATCTTTTTCTGTTTGCAAGCTCTTCCCAATTAACCGAGTATTACATGAAACCAGTTTAGATGTTCTAACAAATGAAGAGGTATGTTCTTTCTGTATCTCTGCTTCTGTCTCCTTGAACCCCAGTCGGCCTCAGCAGATGGCCGCTTACACTGAGCCTGGTTCTGCTGGAGGTTTCTTCCTGTTAAAACTGAGTTTTTCCTCTCCACTGTCGCTACAAGCATGCTTGGTGTGAGGGATTGCCTTCAAGTCAATGCAATCAACTGGTTTTCCTTAGATAGAAAACTTTGAATCAATCTGCCTGGATGATCTGGTGAACTGTAAAGTGCCTTGAGATGACATGTGTTGTGAATTGATGCTATAGAAATAAACTGAATTAAAGAAGTACAACATTTTAAATAAATCCTCTAAATCCAGGATGTGAGACATCAAAAAGAGGAAAACAGCAGCAGATAAAGCTGTGTTTTTACCACTGTTATAGAGGCAAACAGCTTCTCCATCTTTTGATTTTTCTGGAGCTTGATGCATTAAAAGTCAAATGATCAGTGCTTTTATTGGAAAACACTTTAAATCCTGAGGTTTGGGAGAGAAGGCATTAAAATTAGGTTTTTTTTAAGCAGCAGGAAATCCTGTTCCATCAGTCTAACAGGAAGGTGAAGGATTGAGTTTACTGTGTTTTATTTTGGTTTAAAAAGCAAGGAGGGGAATAATTCAAATATTATTTCTGATTTTATGTCTGTGTTAGATTGGAGGTCAGCTCCTTGTTGAATAGAAGCATGTGTTTGAGTCAAAAAGCTTCACTCCGGCTCCCACAGTAGTGACAGGAAGGACTCTCAGTAACATTCCCTTCTGCACCTGTTTAAAGATTTAGTGTCACGGCCTCAGCTATGAACAACCACAAATGGAACGCCATGCTTTACACTCTGGACAATGGAGCCCTTTAAATGAGTGGAGACAGAATATCCAACTACAACTAGACATTCACTTAATTCCAATCCTGTTTATTTCCTGGAAAAATGGGAATACAAATAATAAATAATAAATAATTTAAGGTTTTCCAGCTAGAAATGCTTAGTCGTAGCGAAATCATATTTAAATGTCAAATCATTCTGGCTTAAACATGTATATAAATGTACTTTTTATCAGTCGATATTGTCCCAAAGTTTAGAGAATTTCTTTTTTTTTTTAAAATCCTGTCTTAAAATCTGTGTTTTTTTCGTTATCTTATGCTGGTCAGTTAGTTATACGTCAGCCTAAACACCTTAATTCGACCAATCATATATCAACGGTCATCTGTCAATCAAATTTTTTGAATGTCGCAGCTAATATATGCAACGGTTGAAATAATAAATCAGAATCCTTTCCTTTCCCATTGAGTTGCGTCCCAGTGTTCACAGGGATGGACGTCTGTGTCTTCAGCAGGCGTAGAGCTAACAGAACTGGCAGCGTTGCGAGGCAAGGGCTCAAACATGTACGGCTGGAAGCCTTCTACACCAAACCAAGCTTCTGCCGCCCTGGCGTCCTCTTCCACAACATCTTCATCCCCGCTTTCCTCCTCTAAATAAAAAATGGATGACGGAGGAGACTCATCCACGACCTCCGACACTAAACTCTCCTCCTCTTGCATGTTTCCTCTGTCCATAGCGTTCCTTGACAGCGTCGTTTCTAAGTCACCAATTTAGTGCTACTTGGTCCTAATGGAATTTCCCATTGGGAACCTACTAGCACTAAGTTGCTAACTGGTTAGCAAGATGCTTCCAAGAAACCGACCACAATCAAAATGTTTGAGAACCTTCCGCCACAACAATCCTGTTCTCTTGATTGACGACCAATCAAATTCACTTAATTAACTTGTGTAAAGTCGGGAACCACTCTGGGGAATTGGGAAATGCAACGGTTGGAACGGCCTTTTCTCTACGACTTTAAGTTACTGAGATGATTGAAAAAGCCATTTAACTTCTATTCAATGTTGGAGCCGCTCAGACCCCCACATACTGGCGGTGCGCTGTCACTGAGAATCCCCAGCAGCAGCTGCCTCAGGCCCAGTCACCTCTTGGGGGTTTTCCCCTCTGTTCATGGTGACTGGAAGTAGACGTTAGCATTTTTTAGGCATGTGCTACAAATTGCAGGCACCAGGATAATAAAATCGAACATATTTTGGCGGCAGGTTCTGATATTTTAAGTTATTTTAGGCGTTGATAAACTATTTCAGAGGAGTGATCATAGCGCTCTGCATCAGCAGCACTGTGTCTGTCGCCCTGTCAGCTCCCATATCAGCTTCTCTGATTGGTTGATTTGGCGTGTCGAGCAGCATAAATTACATTTTTCCAACTCCAGCAGCTGATGCTTGTGAAGCGCGTTTTCGCGCATTAGATGCTCAGAAGGTCATGAGGCGCTGCTTCAGAATTTCCAATGTGTCAAAACGCACCGCTGCTGTTCTAGACGTGTTGCAGCACCTTTTGATGAACCTTGATGCGCATCAACCATTTACTTTGCTGCTTCTGGTGATCAAAGCAAATTAGTTGTTAACGTAACATTATGGCTCTTAGCCCAAGCTAAAGGACTACGTCTGATAATGAAGCACTAATAACCCAACATTAGAAACATGAATGTTGCTGAACAACACTTTGGGTCAACCAGTCGTTGACCCAAAGGGACCCAAAACAACACTGCTGCTGTGTTTTCTATCCCGCCTTAAATCGTAACACTGCTAATAATGGTTGCCTCAGCCTCAAACCATTTAAGCGGGATAAGATGGATTCCTGTTTTTGAATTCTACCAGACTTCAGCCTAGAGACGAGGATCTAAATGGAGTTGGGACCTTAATTCTGACAGAGAGGAAATGTTGATATTCTGACAGACTTTGACTTCTGTTATTTCCTGTCTGTTTTTTTCATTTCCTGTGCAGAAGCTCGCCTCACAGCTGCCAAAGCTACGGGAGGTTAGAGATGCTCCTAAAAACTGCCTTTGTCCTCCAGGTGAGTGGAAGCACTTAGCCGCTCACATTTCTCTTGCTTTCTCTCACACACTAACCAGACTACATGCAGTACGGAAGGATTAGCGCCACTGAAAAAATAAAAAAGTTAACTGATTTCAAATATTATTTCAGTTTAATGTCTGAAAAAAGTCAGAATTCTGACTTTAATTTTAGAATTTTTTTTTTTTAACAGTGTCCTGTGTGGCAATAAGAATAATTGTCTTGATGCCCAAAAAGAGCCCAACAGATTTTACTTTCACAAGTGTAGCAGTATGGCTATCTCCATAGTGTTCCGCTTGATTTATGCATATAAATTGCTTTATTATAATTCATGCAGGGAGTTTTACAGATTATATGGACACTGCAATGTAAGTAGAACAGAAAAGGAAAAACAGGAAAAAGGAGAAAAGATGAAAGAAAGAGGAGATAAAAAGCCGATAATGATAAAACTTCTTCTGTCTGCTTCATCAACTGCAAATCCCAGTTTTGAACCTTAATGTAGATGGGCACCATGAAGGAAGAGATGTGAAGCAAAGATGTGAGTTGTTTGGGAGGGCCAGTAACACATTGGTGGAAAATGAAGGAATTAGACGACTTTTTACGTGCCGAGAGATCCCTGGTTATGCTTTTTCATTAATGGAAGAGCTGGTCATTAAAACAAGAGAACTAGTTTAGACTCTACAACAGACATGGCTACGGCTTGATGCTAACATGTTTGTTTGCTGTCAGAATTCAGTCAGAATTCATAATTATGAGATCAAAGTTTGAATTCTTAGAAAAGTCAGAATATTGAAATTAAAGTTAGAATTCTGACTTTTTTCTTATATCATACTGAAATAAAATTTTATTTCTTAATTCCTTCCCACTATCATTTCAACCCCTACCCCCATACAGGGTACAAAACATCTCCCCTGGGCAGCCAAGCCAACAATTGCCCCTAATGACTTCCCTTTCAGATGCATAGACAGGTATGGGGGATTTACAGGCTAACAAAGATACCAAACGACTCCCATTCCAAAGGGGAGGACCCCTTCTTCTTCTGGTTTTTGAGCTATTTCTGGCATTTTGAATTGAAAAAGCTTCCTGGATGGGAAGACAAACGTCTTCAGACTTGGAAACAAAGATTGTTTTTTAACTTTTTCGAATGACTGTGACCTGGATGACTGGGAATCTTCACCAACTTCTGCTCTTTTCTGACATTCCTTTTTCACTCCTGCACTTTATGAAATGAAAATGTTCCTTTTCACCGCTAAGCTGCGGCTCATTCACTGTCTAAAGCTGTATAAAATCTTTTTTTTTTTGGAGACCAAGGGTGTAACTTTGTGATGAAAGGTGGTCGCTCCACCCTGATGCTTTCATTAGCTTTCTGTATCTGTAGCTTTCTGTAAAATGAGCTCAAACATATATTTATTGATGCTTTCCTATTGTTGAGAACACATGAGAACCACAATACATTGATATATAATATCTTTAGATGCCTTTTAGTGCATCAAATATATAGAGCCTAAAAACATTAATGTATAGAAAAAATAACAAACAACAGCCGACTCCAATGCCAAAATTGTTATATACAATTTCAATTCCATCCAGAAAAAATGTAACATTCTGATTTTTAAATATAGCAAAGCATATTTTTTTCGTGTAAACTTTCTAGTAACTTTGGAGATATATTTTATTGCATCTTGCATACTCCAGTAAATCTGTTTCCCCTTTAAATCTTCAGCTCTCCCAACTTCTCTCTCTGCTGTTTAAAAAGATTTATGAACCTCTTTACTAACATAATGATGCCAGAAACTAAATTTCAAGATACGTAGAAGCTCTGCAATCTGATTCTATCTGAACAATAAGAAATGGATTTAACCTGTAACTGGGAGTCATGGTTCTCTGAGAAGCCAAGATTTTATAGTAAAGAAGGACATTTAAACTGTTTTCTCAAGCTTCTGGCTAAGCTTCAGCAAATTCGATGAAGTTACACTGAGAGGCGGGACATGGGAGCAGAGCGAGAGGAAAAAACACAGACTCAAAATGCTCTGAACACAGTTAACTGCAACCAACCTTTGTTACCTTTGGCTAAAGTTAATGAGCAGAAAGGGGGAAAAAAGCAGAAATTATCCCCACCAACTGAGGATATGTCCTAACCAGTCCTACAGAAAGTTACGCCTGCAATGTAGACACTCGTGTATACTAAATAATAAGTCTGCTATTATTGTTTATCCATGATGCTATGCTACAGTAGGTCTGAAAGGATGGAGCATCATTACTAGATGATGAAATGTTACAGAAAGCATTCCACATTTAGGCCTAGACTTATTCAGTTACACAGTTTAACACTTAGGACTGAAAGACGAATATGGAAGCAGAGAGCGGTCATAATAGAACTTTTTTTCCCTTTTGTCTTCTCGAGATAATGACATAACTATCTCGTTATCACAGTTTGACCATTAATTGTTTTCTCGAGATAAAAAGGTTATTATCTCGTTATCACAAGAAAAGAGTTATTGATTTCTCGAGGTAACAAGATGATTAATCTGTATGGGTAATGAATGAGGCTGGCCAACAGCCCTGGATTCCCAGTCCATCCATGCCTGCGGGGCGCGTAGTTGTACAGTCGCTGTACCGTGTGTTCTCAAATAATCAGTTTTTTAGTTTCCTTTTTCTTTTCATTCATTGTCAGGTCATGGTGCATGACTGGACTGCATGGAATACAATAGAAACAAATCAGACTGACTTTAATCTGGACTCATTTTGCTGGTTAATGCATCTTATACCTGTTACAGGTGTAACACCGGGGCTGTTTAGAAAAAACCCATTGCTAAGGCGACGAAGGAATAGGTCTAATTCCTTATGAATCACAAGTGGAAGCAAATCATCAAACTAACAACGTTGTCTCGTTACCCAAAAGTTACAGAATTACAAACACCAATAATTTCTTTATTATGAGAAAATGGCTTTTTTATCTTTAGATAATGAGAAAACCACTGTGAAAAAGTATCGGAGGGACACGACCGCTCTGGGCTTCCGTAGACGAGCATTGATCCTGAAAAAATCTACATAAATGTCCTAAACCCTGCTTCACGGAATATTGTGTAACAAAAGGTAAATGGATCTTAATCCATCTTCATGAGTCGTTTTCCACAATGGCGGTCATACAAAAAAAAACAAAAAAAAACAAGCCGGTAAGGTACCAAATAGGAAATGCGCATAGTGTAGAGCGGATGTAGATTTGACCAATCAGAGGCCTCCTGTCTGCGGTCACCTACAATTTTGGAGAGCTGCAGCAGAGTGTGTGTGGAAGGGGGAGGGGCATATTTGCATTCACTGCGACGTTTCTGAGCATAAGCCAGCCTTAAGGCAGTTCAGCTCTGCTTAGAGCTTTGCCAATAGGCTCTATGCACAGCTCCACTACTTCCTGAATTGAATGCAGCTCCTTTGTTTCCTGTCTTTCATGATTGGATGCACTGATTAATCCAGGTGTGTATGACCTAAGTAACTGGCCAGACACACCTGGATTAATCAGTTCGTCCAGTAATGAAAGACAGAAAACAAAGGAGCTGCATTAAATTCAGGAAGTAGTGGAGCTGTGCATAGAGCCCATTCTGCAGCATTCAGTGTAATGGGCTCTATGCACAGCTCCACTACTTCCTGAATTTAATGCAGCTCCTTTGTTTTCTGTCTTTCATTACTGGACGAACTGATTAATCCAGGTGTGTCTGGCCAGTTACTTAGGTCATACACACCTGGATTAATCAGTGCATCCAATCATGAAAGACAGGAAACAAAGGAGCTGCTTTAAATTCAGGAAGTAGTGGAGCTGTGCATAGAGCCCATTAAATCAAATCATTAAATAATTTGCTGCTGTTTCTTGTTTAGCCAGTCACTAATTCAAAGCAAGTGACCAGTCACTAGTCACTGTTCCTGGTCCTAGATCCTTCAGCACTATTTGGATAGCATTTATTTTGACTGAGGCAAATCCAGCGTAGCTCTATGGAAGAGGATTAGGGCTACTGAAAAAAATGTAAAAAAGTTAACCCATTTTTAAATTTTATTTCAGTATAATCTGATAATTCTGACTTCAATCTCAGAATTCTGACTTTAATCTGAGAATTCTCACTGAATTCTGCCAGCTAACAAACATGTTAGCATCAAGCCGTAGCCATGTCTGTTTTAGAGACTAAACCAGCTCTCTTGTTTTAATCACCTTCTGCTCTTCCATTAATGAAATAGCATCACCGCGACCCCTCAGGCACGTAAAAATTGCCCAATTCCGTCAATCCCAGATTAAACTGAAATAATATTTTACAATCAGTTAACATTTTTTTAAAGTAGCCCTAATCCTCTTCCGTATAGCTGATATGTCCATGGTCCAGGTATTTAGTTTGAGACATAGTTTTTGAAAGCAGCTTTTGTTATGATCCAAATCTGATATAAAATTCAGTTTTTCACTCTTGAGTTTTTATCTCAGTCTGGAAGAAGCTGCGCTGTGATTGGTTGAGTCAGGATCAGACCAGTGAATTAGAGGCTTTAAAGCAGGAAGGAAGACTCTGCTGGTTTTAAACTTTTCTACATCTGAACCTTAATATCTGGGATATTTTCTGCATCAGCAGCGACTCTGTGGTTTGAAGTTAGCTTTAGCGTCTGACCTCCCCTCAAGGCGTGGCAGCGACCTCACCGTCCTTCACTTTATCCAATCCAATTCATTTATGCTGAATTTTAACTGTTGAATTAAAAGAAATTTGGTCAGAATATTCAACAAAGTTTTCACTGTGTTACATATTTATAGGAGCATCAGGTGTTTTTGTCAAAAATCCTTTGATAATGCTAAACAGCAGAGGTGTCATCAAGTAACAGAGTATAAATACATTGTTGCCTTAATTAAGTAGAAATGTTTGCTATCAATACTTAGTGGAGTAATTATTTTTTAGACAACTTTTTACTTTTACTCCTTACATTTTAATTATGACCTGTTGGTATTTAAAAATAAATAAAAACCATCAATATAAT